GGAGGGCTGGGCGTCTACCAACCAGCGCTGGACACCTGGTGCAGCGGGGCCGGAAGGGGCCCTCGGCTGCAGCGCCGGCTGGCCGGGCGCCATCCCCACCGCCGCCGCTGATCGCCGGCCCTGGCGCGGGGGGCCGTTCGCGAGCCCGCGCTGGGCTCTGCACGGGTTCCCCCGGGGCCGTAGGCGACCCGAGGAGGAGGACGAGGAGGAGGAGGAGGAGGAGGCGGAGGAGGAGAGGGAGGAGGAGGAGGAGGAGGAGGAGGAACGGGGAGCTGCAGTCCTCACCCTCGCAGCCTGGTCCAGACCTCTGGAGGTCGACGTTGTGAAACAACCACGACGTCGGGGGTTTGGTTTGGGAAGTGCAGTCGAGACGTGCATGAAGGACGGGCGGTGAGGACGCAGAGCCACTGGAGCCCAAGGTCGGGACCTTCGTGGGGCGGCGGGCGCCCCGTGAGGAGGGCAAAGGACGGGCCGCACGGGCAAGGCCACGGGGGCCCCGCGGATGGAGGCGCGCGTCCTCGCCAGGCGCGCTGACTGCAGCATCCACGGCACGCCGCCGAGGGGAGCCGACTGGACTTCGTGGCCGTGGTCGTGGTCTTGGCCGTTGCAGTCGTGGTCGTGGTCGTGGTCGTCGTGCTCGTGGTGGACGTCGTGGTCGTCGTGGTCGTGGTCGTGATCGTGGTCGTGGTCGCCGTCGTGGACGTCGAGGTCATCCTGGTCGTCGTCGTCGTCGTCGCCACCGTCGTCGTCGTCGTCGTCGCCGTCGTCCTTCAAGATTACTCCTCCGTTTTTGCCCGAAGGCCCAATGAATCTAGAAGACTACGAAAAACAGCATGAACACCAAACTCTCCGAGGTCTGCGCAGATTTCTTGGATCGGCTCCTGGAGCCTCCTCCCTTGCGCGCGGAGCGCTCCAGGGGCGGCGCCAGAGACGCCGCCAGGAGGGGCCAAGAGCCGATCCAAGAAATCCGCGCAGACCTTCGAAAATGTATGTTTGTACTGTTTGTTGCTCTTCAGCCTTCCGCAACAACACTTGGCGGCGCTGACAAGGGGAGGGGGGAAGGCTTCTCAGACGGAACTTGCCTCTCAGATGACGCCGCCCCTGCATCTACAGACAAGGCCCGCGCCTTCTAAGAAGCAGGGTTGCTCCTTAGAGGCCGTCCCCCCTCCCCGCACCCAGACCCCCGACTCCGCGACATTGCTCACAACGTCGACCCCTAGAGGCCTGGACCCCTTCCCCGGGGCCAATTCTGTGCATCCTGAGTCGCTGGTTGACGATCCCGAGGCCCGGCAAGGGCCCCCCGAACTGGAAATGGCGACAAGCCTCCCGTCGTGATTTGTTCAAAACAGGAGGGGGCCTGGCTACCCTTAGGTCGGGCATGTCCCCATATAGGCGGATTTTGAACGAAAAAATCAAATATACTCCAAAAATACATCCAAAATATTCAAGCCTCTGTTTTTCGTTTACCAAAAAAACGTCCCCTGACTATTGTTTGACTATTTTCGAATGTTCCTCCTGAAGAGGGCCAGGCCCGACTGAAAGGCTGCCCTGATCTCCGCGCGGCCGGGCCACTCTGACGATGGCCTCCCCCCGCGGCGGCGTATCGTTGATGCAGCGGCGATGCGTCGGCGACGCGTGATCGACATCCGCGATGCATCGGCGCCATCGGCGCGGGGACCTCGGATTCCACGTCGAGCCGCATCGCCGATGCATCGACGATGCGGCGCAACCCTCCGAGGCCATTTACTCCGACCCCATCTGGGAGGCCTAGAGACGACGACGACGACGACGACGCCATAGGAATAATGATAATAATAGCAATAACAATGGTAAGACTGACAACAAAACGAATGACAAAAACGACAACGACGACAACAACAACAAGAACAACCACAACAACAACAACAACAACAGCAACAACAACAACAACAACAACAACAACAACAACAACCACAACCACAACCACAACGACAACGACAACGACAACGACAACGACAACGACCACGACCACGACCACGACAACAACAACAACAACAACAACAACAACAACCACAACAACAACAACAACAACCATTTTAAGGCTGTACGCTCTTACTTGCCCACGAGTCATTCAACACGTATACCCTACACCCTCGATACCCGCCCTCTTCGTCTTCGATCACACCCCTTTCGGGGGGATTATTTCTCTTTGCTGGGGCCGGCGGGCTTAGACGTACGGGCAAACCGGAACGGGCGGACAATCCTTCGGGGGCGTACATCTCTCTGCCCGCCATTGGAATTGGCGCGGGCCCTGCAAGAGGAGGAGGGGAAGAACGAGGGAGAGTGGGAGGAAGGGGAGGGGGAAGGACGAAGGAAGAGGGAAGATACCACGTTGTGAAGGCGTCCTTGGCGCGTGCGTGGTTCCTGAGCGCCGAAACGCAATTCCAGAATAATTTGTGAGGACGTCGCACGCGAGAGCGCAGTCCTGAGTACATTGTGAGGAAATCTCAGGCGGAAGCGGGGGCCCTGACTAAGTTGCGAGGAAGTCTCAAGCGGGAGCGCCGTTCCTGAGCAAATTGCACGGAAGTCTCAGGCGGGAGCGGGGGTCCTCACTAAATTGCGAGGAAGTCTCAGGCGGGAGCGCCGTTCCTGAGTCAATTGCGCGGAAATGTCAGGCAGGAGCGGGGGTCCCGAGTAAAATTCGAAGAAGTCTCACGCGGGAGCGCCGTTCCCACGTAAATTGCACGGAAGTCTCAGGCGGGAGCGGGGGTCTTGATTACATTGCGAGGAAGTCTCAGACGGGAGCGCCTTTCCTGAGTAAATTGCGCGGAAGTCTCAGGCGGGAGCGGGGGTCCTGAGTAAAAATCGAGGAAGTCTCAGGCGGGAGCCGTTGTTGTTGTAGCCCGGGGGGCAGGGGCACAGTTTGAGCAGGAAGACTTTCCTTGAGAAAAAAACAAGGTGCGAGCCCCGGGGGTGGCACTTCAATCGAAAAAAATCAATGTGCACCGGTGGGGGGGAACCAACAATAATTATTCTTCAAGAATGGGAGTTCAACAACAATAACAACAACAACAACAACAACAACAACAACAACAACAACAACAACAACAACAACAATAGCAGCAACAACTACAACCATAACAGCAGCTACAGCAGCAACAACAGCAATTACAGAAACAGCAGCAACAACAACAACAAAGGGACCACCACAAACAACAACAACAAAATTAATAACAAACTGAATAAACATAATACCAATGATGCGAACAATCATAACAATAATCAGAAACATAATCCGCCGCGAAGTTGAGTTCCCCCGAGGCTCTCATGTGTCCTCTGTACTCTATACTCAGGACGATGGGATTCTGGTATGCGAAGGACTGGGACCCCAACTGCTCAAATGTCCTGGGCGCTCCCGCGCGCTCATGGGCTGCCTCGCGTGACTTTTCCAAAGGCCAGAGAGCCCCAAGATGGGCCCCGAGTGCCCCAGAAAGCGCCCCAGAGGGTCCAAGGAGTCTCCAAGACAGTCCAAGAGCGCTCCAAGACGCCCAAGATGGCCTCAAGACGGCACAGGAGGCCCCAAAGAAACCCTAAGAACGACCCCCAAGAGGCCCAAGAGGACCCAAAGAGCAAAAAACAGTGACTTTCCTTGTGCGTGTTTCGATGTGTTGCGCGTTCTCGCGAATTCGGGATTCCGACACTCCAAGATGGCCCCAAAAGCCCCAAAGACCGCACCAAGACGGTCCAAGAAGCGCCCAAGATCGCCCAACTGACAATTGGTTTTTCCCTGGGAGACAACACATGTTATCCTGGGGGGGGGCGGCGCGGGGGGAGGTAACGGTAACGGAGGCCGCGGCGCGCACCCCCCGAGGCGCGCCGCCCGAGTCGTTGCCGTCGTCGTCGTCCAAGCCCAGCGCTTGTGCACAAAACATGGGCTCTGTACTCTGTACACCACGATGCCCTTGTGCACCAAGACTGCTACAGGAATAGTATGGCAACTGTGTACACCATAACAACCGTGTGCACCACAGCGCCTTTGTATATATATCTTTGATGGTGCACACCACGGCGCCTGCGTGCACCACAGCTGCTGTCTCAGCACCCCCTGTGCACCATGGTGCCCGCGTACGCACGCTGACCCTGCGGGCACCACGCCTCGTGCACCCAGCGGGCGCGAGTGCACCCGTCAAAAAGCAGCGGTGAACTTCCTGCCGAGGAGGTCGCAGGCGCCCTGTCCGAAAACCCAGGTTTCCGGTTTGACCTGGGGAATAGATGGGCGAACTGCGATCTCGAGGCGCCTGTGTACACCGCAATGGCTGCGTACACCACAGCAGCCGTCTGCACCGCAACGCCTGCGATTATTGACACCACAGCTGCTGTTTCAGCACCCCTCCGCGCCTGCGTTTGCCACAAAGCTTGTCTAAGTACACATCGACGGCCCAAACGGAGCCAAAGTCCAGGAAATCGTTGGGGGCCCGAATGAATCAGATTCAATATGATATTGAAATGTGATCTGATTGTGACTATTGGGTTTTCCTGGCCCGAGGAACGTTTGACTTTGTGAGCCCACAGCGATGTGCGACACAACGCCTGTTTGCACCACAATGCCCGCGTCCTATATACGCAAGGAAGACGACGATAATGAAGACGAAAATAAAGAGGGAGGAAGAGGAATATGTAGGAAGAGATGCGTGCGTTCATTATAGCCCACAACGCGCACGTTGGGCACTACAGCGACGTTGGGCACTACAGCGATTGTGTACATCACGGCGCCTGCGAACACCACAAGGCTTGTGATGATTATACAACAATGCAATGCTTACGTATACCCACTATGCCTGTGTACACCACAGCTGCTGGTGCAACGACAAATGCGTGCGCCACAAGCCCGTGTACACCGCAGTGCTTGCGTACACCATACTGCACGCCCGCGTGCACCGCGGCACTAGCAGTGCCCGCGTGCACCACAGCCTAGGCTGCCAGGGATCGCGCACCGGACCCGGCCGGGGTGTTAACGTCACGGGGGGGGCAGGGGGGGATAACACGTGTTATCCCTTGGGTGGATACAAACATCGTCTCACTGCCGGTGTGTTTGGAGGATTTGGGCGTTCTGGCCGTTTTGAACGAACTCTCGGGGGCCCGTGACGGCCCACGCAGCCTCCAAAATGTCCCCAAGACGGTCCGAGAGGCCCCCAAGAGCCCCAACACGACACAGGAGAGGCCCCCAAGACAGCCCAAGAAGACCCGAAGAGATCGGCTCCGAGAGGCCCGCAAGATGGCCACCCAGAAGGGGCCAGCCGGCGCAAGAGCGACCCAAGACAGCTACAGACGCTCCCACGAGGCCCCAAGAGCCCCCAAGAGGCCCCCAAGAGGGCCCCAAAAAGGCCCTCAATAAGATCCCAGGAGGCCCCAGAGACAGGCTTCGCACAGCGCCCCCGCCGCCAATTCCAGCACACCCCTCACCCGGATCGTGCCCCACAGGGAGCACCACGCACAGCCCCAGAGACCAGGTCCGCACACCGTCCCCCAGCCCATCTCGGCACACCCATCAAGCGAGTCGTAACCCAGAAAGGAGCTCCACCTATGCCACAAATGGGCAACTTCGCACGGGATCCCCCAGTCCATTTCGAAATGGGCGGGGGGATCGTTAACCGCGAAAACTATGTCTGAGCATAGTTTAATCGATCCCTGATCCCACTGGCATCGTTGAACGATGCTCAGAAATACTCCTGAGCATCGCTGAACCGATCCCTAATCCCACTGGCGTGGCCCTGGCCCCACTGGCCGATTGCACCACTGGATCGGTATGCATCCCTGTTCCTTCGGGCTTCGAGGGGCCTGTCCCCAGTAGGGGTGAGAGGGTGGGTCTGAGATACCATGGCACGGTGGGGGGTAGGTTGAACGATGCTGAATCTCGACACATGCCTCACACGGGAGATGCCCCAAATGGAGCTTCACCCGCGGCCTCAGTGGGCGTGCTCGCGCGGGGGGCACCCGGATTATTCGGCAGCCGCGCCCTGCGCTGCACGTGCATGCACAAGGCAGGGTCCGTCGCCAGTGCTTCTGAAAGATCCGTTGGGGCCTCTTGGCATGCTTCTCGGGCGCCTCCTGGAGCCAGTTTTGACGCCCCTTGAAGTCCTGTCTTTTTTCAAGAGAGCAGGAAGGTAACAGCCAGAGGGCCAGCGAGTCCGACGAATGTGCGAATCGCAGCCGCCTCTGCAGCCTGGTCTTTCGAACAGACTCTGGGCACCTGCGCAGCAGCTGTCTCTCGCGAAAGTTGCAGCTGCGAAAGCGCCAAAGATATCATCGCCTCCTGCTTAAGATAGCGGGGCTTAATATAATAGAGGGAGAGAGGAAGAAAACAAACAAACAAACAAAGACAAGGGCAATGGACACGCAGAAGTGAGACGAGGGCGACAACAAAAATAGCTCACGAGTCCTGTCGGCTTGCTGCACTTACGTGGCAAGCTGGCGAGGGCCAAAAGGTGCGGCGCGCTCTGCATTGCGTCGCCAATTCGCCCGATTAGGACGCGGCAAAGAAACTGACCGGACACAAACGGGAAGCGTCGCTTTAGTACACCAAGCATGTGGAATATGCTCTGTTGTTGTTACGCCGCGCAGGTATGCCGTGGCGCGCGTGTCGGCGTGAGTTCGGGGTGTGTTCTGCTGTGCTCCTGTGTGTTCTGCCGTGCTCCTGTTGTGCCGTGCTTCTGTGTTCTGCCGTGCCTCTGTGTGCTCTGTCTGTTCTGCCGTGTTCCTGTATTCTGCCGTGCGGATCGTCGCGGTGGTCGTTTTGGCGGAGCTTCTACGCGCGCACGGCAGGAAAAAATTAGGAGCACGGCAGAATAGGCCCCAAGAGCTAAGGAGCACGGCAGAAAAAAAGACCAGGAACACGGCAGAATAGACCCCAAGAGGAAAAGAGTACGGCGGAACACACCCCAAAAGCGAAGGAGCACGGCAAAAAAAAAACAGGAGCACAGCAGGATAGACCCCAAGAGCTAAGGAACAGACAGAAAAACAAAAAAAAAAAAAAAAAAAAAAAAGGAAAAGGGCAGAATAGGCCCCAAGAGCGAAGGATCACGGCAGAAAAAGACCAGGAGCACGGCAAAATAGGCCCCACGAGCTAAGGAGCAGGGCGGAATAAGCCTCACGTGCGAAAAAGCACGGCAGAGAAACACCAAGTGCACAGCAGGAAAGACACCAAAAGCTAAGGAACACGGCGCAAAATGAACAGGAGCACGGCCGAATAGGCCTCAAGAGCGAAAGAGCACGGCAGCAAAAAAAAAGCAGGAGCACGCCACAATACACCCCAAGAGCTACAGAGCACGGCAGGAGAGGCCCGAAGAGCGAAGGAGCAAACCAGAAAAAAACGAGGAGCACAGCAAAATAGAATCCAAGAGACAAGGGGCACGGCAGAATATGCCCCAAGTGCGAAGGAGCACGTCAGAAAAATACCAGGAGCACGGCAGAATAGACCCCAGGAGGCAAAGAGCATAGCAGAAGAAACAACAAAAACATAGAACGGCATAATAGGCCCCATGAGCTAAGGAGCAAAGCAGAAAATTAGCCGGACGAAGGACCCAACCATATGCAGATGTGCGCACCGCAATTGTGATTTACTTTTTCGGCGGTGATCCCCATGAGGCAACGAACCGCGTTAGGGGCGTGCCGAAATAAATGGCGCGGTACACAACGCGAACGAAAACCATTGATCTGAGTACCTAGGGTGACTGAGCGCGGGTGAATATGAGCGCGAGTGCGCATGACTGCGAACGAATCTGCGCGCGAGCGACTCTACGCGCATGACTGCGAGTATGACCAAGCACGGTGTAGTTGTATAAGAATGTAAATTGCTTCTTTTACTCCCTCTTTGCCCGCGCACCCAAAAATGGAAGGCTGCGGGCGCGGCGCAGCGCGGAGTCCCCGCGACGCGCGCTGGTCGCCCCGGACGGGTCCTGGCGACGCGCGCGGGTCGTCCGCTGCGCGGAGCAAAGAGAGCTAGCTGGCTGGCTGATAGCGGGCAAGGCTCTCGCTGCTGGGCGGAGCGACGACGGGCGAGCGAGGCGCTGGGCAGAACGCAGCATGGAGTCCCCGCGACGCGCGCTGGTCGCCCTGGAGGGGTCCCGGCGACGCGCGCGGGTCGTCCGCTGCTCGGAGCAAAAAAAGCTCGCTGGCTGGCTGATAGCGGGCAAGGTTCTTGCCGCTGGGCAGAACGACGACGGGCGAGCGAGGCGCCGGGCAAGACGCAGCGCGGAGTTCCTGCGACGCGCGCCGGTCGCCCCGAGAGGGTCCCAGCGACGCGCGCGGGTCGTCCGCGGCGCGAGGCCAAACAATTAGTCAGACCGTCGAGAGACGGCGCTCCTCAGATCAAGCCTCGCGGATAAACTCGGTGAAGCCCAGCTCCCTGGCAAGGGCCGTCGCCTCCCTCCTGCACCGCTTCGCGCGCGCAGCAAACTGCTCCAGCTGTTTCCGCAAGCCATCCGGCGGCCCTGCCAGGAAGAACTCGACGCGCGGCGCCCGCATGCGCAGGAGGTCCTCGTGGCGCGTGGCGCGCGACGCGTGGCGCGCGAGAGCAGCGCGTAGAGCTCCAGCCGCCAGTCGTCGTCCAACTTTCTGCCGGTCCCCACTTCGTGGCGGCCGCAGTCCAGGATCACGCCTGGGCGATGCGCGTTGAAAAGGCGACGGCCCAGGGCGAGTCCACGGGACCGAGAGAAGGTCTGGCTGCGGACTGTTGGCGCCCAGCAGGTCTGGCCGAAAACTGCCCAAGAGCGCTGTTCACTCGCCCCGTGGCCTTCGCGCATGGTGCGCCCCTGGCCTGGCACGCCGCCGTGGTGATTACCCTGCCGTCCTCCCCTACCCGTCATCCTCCACCTTCCCGTCTTCCTCCTCCTCCTCCTCATCATCGTCGTCGTCAACAGCAAGAGAGTCGTCATCATGCTCAGCAGCAGCAGCAGCATCACCATCATCATGAGCATCGTCGTCATCAACACCATATTATGGACGATGATGATGATGATGATGATGATGATGATGATGATGATCATCATCATCATCATCATCATCATCATCATCATCATCATCATCATCATCATCATCATCATCATCATCATCATCATCATCATCATCATCATCATCATCATCATCATCATCATCATCATCATCATCA